TTAGTACTGCCCACCTTAACTGCATCCGATGGGACCTGGGGCAGGATTAGGGCCTCTGAAATAAAGACAGAGGACAGAAGGAGTTTGGTTGCTACTTGACACCTTGTAGATATGCATGACATGCAGTCCATACACTTATAGCACTGAGGGAATCGTCTCATTTTGAGCTGCCATTATCATGTACACAGCATCTTACAACACATTTCATGTCATCTCTGGGACTGCGCTGGCCTTGCGATGAGTGCAGCTGGGAAAGAAAAGGACGTGTTCATTGAGTTTTTCCTGTCAGTGAGAACTTAACTGAGCGTGCTGATTAAACTTACTTTGGTGCTTTGTAAGGCTCCTGCCTTTTTTTTTTAAAAAAAAAGAAGGTGGAAGACACATGCTAAACAGGACCCTGCAGGAAAAGTAGGGCAAACGATGACAAAAGCAACACACAAAAACTTTCTGAAGAAATGTAGTTTTAGTCTTGGACACAGAAGAGTAGATCTTAGATGCATGTGTCACAAACCCTGGGTTGCTGTGATGAATGGGTTTTTTGGATGCTTGATTCAATGCAGATAAACTCGAACGTTGAACTTGCGTAAGTGGCTGCACCTGAGAACTCAATGCATACTGTGTTTTGATGAAGTATAATAACAGTGCTAAATTGTCTGAAAAATCCAATTCCAGTTGTCTCCAGTTGGCCATTTAAAATTACTAGATAGTTTTTGGCCTTAATCTCACCATGGTTCACTCGAATTTTCACAACCGCTGTGGAAATTAATTCAGGTTGGTGAAACATTTTGATTGTGTGCTGGGAGGGAAATAAACAGCTCTGTGGGAACAGAATTGGAATTGTATTTGATAAAGAAGAGATGAGGCTGTGCATGAGACAATGAGAAAAACAAAATATTGTACAGTTTCTCGGTTAGGAAAGAGACATGCGTTCTGCTTGTTGGGTAAGGCACAGGTTTTGCAGAAAAATTGTTTGATCGCATTATTAAGACATTCCTATTTTTAGGTGTATATAATGTGCACAAGTACACTGAATTAAACCTTTCTAGATATTGCTTAATACTTGTGTGCTTTGCAAGATTGATGTTCAGTTAACATTGTCCTTATGTGGAATTTACCAGTGCTGGTGTGTTGCACATAGAAGCATTAGCTGGGATTTTGATAAGTACTGTGTAGGCTCCTCAAATGACATATTTCTTGTGCCAAAATGCCTAGCATTCATGGGCTTATGAAAGGGTAGGTGAAGGGGAATGCTTCTCATCTAAAGAGTCATTGCACAGTAGGGCTCTGAAGTTCATAGGAAATCTCAGCTGGGAAAGGGGACTGACAGCCAGTATCACTTGATCACCAGTGAACTTTGGAATCAGTGTTTTGAAGCCCGAGAAGAGATTTCTAACAGCCAAAGTGGCCATCTTTAGGATGTAGATTTTCCTAGCCATTTGAATAGCTAAATCTCTTGTTCAGGCTTTCTTCTCTCTATGTCTGAATGGTTTGCAGCGTGTTTTGTCTCACTTTAGCAATGCAATGTTGCCCTATACATATCCATCTAGAATACTGTAACCAAGATAATTTTCTTAGCCTTTTGTTTTGGACTCTTGTCTCAATAGTACACGTGTACTTCCTGGATTGTCTCAAATATAGATATAAACACTCACCTTCAACTTCTTGACACCAGTCATCTACTCTTTCCACAGCATGTCTTGCTTGGCTTGGAGGAGACACCTCTCTTCTCCTTCAGGTAGTCCGTTGAGTCAGCCTCCATTGATTTTTCATTTCAATATTTCACTTACACCTTCTTGCTTGTTCTCATTATTCCATAAGACCTTTCATGATTCTTCATACCCCTCCGTCAGAAATACCATTGTCTTGGAGGGTTCGCCATGCCTCTCAGTATGACCAATATTGTGTAACCTGCTCAGTTTTCCCCCTATTTGCCTAAATTTGTCTGATTTTGTGCAGCATTATCACTGGGGCAAGGGCTGACACATTGGCTAGTACAGTATTTGGCAGAGTAGACTGAGGTGCTTAGGGGCTACTATCAGAATAAGCTAAGAGCAATTTTCCATTAATGTCAACCTGCTGTGCTCAGGAAGAGGGGAAAAGAGAGTGGGAAATGCCCTTGCAGCTCTCTTGGAGCAGAGGAGGGATGGGTGGTGACTTCAGAAGCTGGAATGTGTCTGTTGCACAACACTGACCATAATAGTGAATGTGTAGCAGGGGCTTGGAAAAAGTGGGGAGAGGGGAGTATCAAGGTAGCATTTGACTGTCGATGTTGCTCTGTCCCTTCCTTTCACAGGGTTGTTCGCCTGGAATGACAGCTGTCATCATGTATCATAAGAGGCTGTGTCAAAAAAAGTGTTAGATGCAGTTCTTCGAAGTTACCTCCATGTTAAACACAATGTGTTGCTGTCGCTGAAAACCATCTGTAACCTACAAACTGGTTAGACTGGCTTTAAAGCCTTGAATAACTCTGAGTAGTTTGTGTGGATCTAAGTGGTGATGGCAGAGATGTCAGATTAATCCGCAAAGTCAGGTTCCAGCAGAGTAAAATGACCGGCTGAAGGCCAGCATACCTTGCTGTTTTACAGCAGCTGAATCCTCATGATGAGTCTGCGGATTAGAGGTGATAAACATCACAAAGTGCAGCCTTAGAGGACATACCCTGTTTCACTGGGCACCGACAGCTAGATTTCTCTCCTACTTGAATGACGATACAAATGTCATAAAGTTCAGGGCTAATTACTTAGTTCACTGATAGGTCTCATTTATACGTAGCCTCCCCAGCCAAAGGGAGTCTAAAGTAGATGACAGACTGTAGCACTGCCACCGTGTAGCTCGACCCAGAGGTGCAAGAGGCAGCAAGGGGAGGCTCTGCACAACACCATGTGGGGGAGGTTTTGGCAGAAGTTATCCAAACAAGCATTTGAAAGTTGCATTTGCCAAGGCATTCTGGATTTCCAGGCAAAGATACCACTTTAAAGCTCTTATCTGAATGATCCACACACAGCAAACTAGAGGGAGTCTGTGGATCCATTGAATATTTCATTGCAGTCAGCAGGGAGGGAGCTGTGCTCTTGTGTTTGTTAGTAGAGAGGCACAGGGAGAGTTGAAAAAGAGCAATGTCCTCTCTCCTGAGTTAATATTTGGACAATGCTATCCCTTTTTTTTTTCATAAATACTTCTATTTTTATCTTTCTGTGTTTCCCAGAAAGCTTTGGGAGTAAGCTCTCCAGAAACTTAAATATGGATTTTGTGGTTTTAGCCCTTGCTGTACAGTTACTTCTCTTGGCAGAGCTGGGCTCGCTGTTCTTGAGCTTCTGACTACGGGATACGTATTTTTGATTTTTAATTCCTTGGTGTGTCTTTACTCAAATTACCTCCTTCCTTGCCAGCGGTAGAGGTTAAGTCCCACCGCAAAGTAGTTACTAGCACTGAAGATGTACATGCTTCTCCCTTCTTCCAGTCAGGCAGTTTCTGCCCAGTGTCCGTGTGCGTGTGTGGTCTTCATGAGCAAGGACAGCCAGCAGCATGGAGGCTGTGAGCCCGCTCTTATTTTTGTTACCTGTTTGCAGCTGAACTCTGACGACATCTCACCAGCTTGATACATTCGGATGTGTTAGGGTCTCGTGTCAGCCTTGCAGACTGTTGGTGGCACAGCCACAGCACCGTGGCTGCCTCCCTCGGCGTTGATGCAGCATTCAGTTAATTAGAAGCTCTGTTGTTGTTTGCTAGCCATATGGTGTGTGTGCTTGCTCTCTTCTTTAATTCCTTACATGCAGTAGGTATTCTGTATGAAGGCAAGAGAAATCTTTGAAAGAAAGATCAACACTCTTATGGGTATTTGGCCTCAGATTCTATCTGCTTAATTTAATGGACATGCTTCTCACAACTACTGATGAGTTCTGCCAGAGGACTGTGCTGTACACTGTTGGGATGCAGTACGGATGGTGTAAAGTACTCTCTTGCAAGAGAAAAGAACTAACATGACTGAACTCTAGCAATAGGGATGGGAATTTTTTTAGGGCAGAATTGCAACTGCCAAAAATGCATTTTTGATTTTTTTTTTTTAAGTGGGGTTGTTAAGGGCCTTGTGGAATTGTTTTAAAGGTTAAGTCTTTCCGAGTTTTTGATCTTCTATCATACTTTAGACCTAGGAGAGTAAGTCCCTTCTCAGTAAGTCAAACAGTGGCTGCTTCATTAATGGATATGAGGAGCTACCAAGTTACCGTGCCAACCTTCTTCTAGTTTTGACAGTGTAAGGCAAACCTTTCAGCTTTGTCCAGTGAGAAGTTGCATGACTTTCTCCTGATTAGTGAGCTTGAAGTGAGTGGGACTAGGGGACAGTTCTGCCAACGTGTGATGCACGTTTTGTTGCTGCCAGTCAAAATACACATCCTGTGCTGTGACTTCCAGAGGCTCTGGGGAGGAAATTACTATCACCATGGCACTGGTGCTCCTGTGAAATCATCAAAACCTTTATCCTCTTTTTTACTTACTAAATGAATCCTTGGGGGAAAAATTTTGAAGTTGAGAGTGTGAAAAATCCTTTGTTCTTAGTAGTATCACTACCCTGGCTATTTGTTGATGGCAAGCAGTAGAAGGAGCAGAAGTCTGGCTAACCACTATCTCTACAAGGAGGAATAAAACTGAGTCAGCAGGCATTAGCGTGTGTAGGACATGGCTCCCTGGCTGCTTTGCCCAATGGCTTGTTTAGTCTTGTCTGCTATGTGTTAGCAGCTTTCGGCTATGTACAGTGATTAGTGCTCTGTGTCTTTCCTCACTGATCCTCTCCGTATCCTGGGGCTAGAATTAGGTTACAGCCCTGAAGTGGCACAGTTGTCTGCATTGACTGAGAGCTGAATAGTAAGGGCAGAGTTTTGTTGATAGACTGAAATGTCTTCTGTGTTTGTTTTCCTTCTCTGGAGGAGGGATGACATTATTTTCATTTGTAGTCTTTCTGTCTCTGACCTAAACATGTGGTGTCCAATTTCCTTCTCTGGCAGGTGACCTGGAAAATGAGGAATGGTGTCTGGGTACAGAGCTGACTCCAGCAGCAATAAAGACTGAGCCAGCGTTGTGTGAGACGTCAGGCCTTGCTCCTTCAGTCAGTCTCACTGTCACAGCCACGTCGCTGGAGGGGGAACAATCTGAGCTACAGATGGATGCCCTGGTACATGCAGACTTTCTGTTCTCTCTGTGCAATTAGCTACAGGTTCTCCTAGGACTCTGCATACCAGTGTAGTCCCCTTGGTGCCAAAGGTTGTCAGTTCAGGGTGCACAGTGTGGTCTGTTTTAATGTTTTTTTTTAATGTTTGCTGGTGTCCCACTACTGCTGTAAGAGCTTGTGTTTCAAAACACTTGACTGCATCTTCAGGTCTTAACTTTCTCTTCTACGCTAGTCCCAAAGCCTGGGCCTCATGTCTTTTTAAAAATACTTAAACAGTTTCTAGTGGATCAGTCCCACTTGACCTGACTAACCCATTTGCCTTATTGAGCCTGTGATAAGCTAAGTGTCTTCCATAATAACTTGCTTTAGTGCTGCTGTGCCTTCCCCTAATCAGAACAAGGCTCCTTGTTTGAAATGACTGGAGAGTTTCCCTGTTTGCTTGCTGAGTCACTTTTGCCAGATCTATGAAGCTTTGACATTTCGAGCTGCTGCCGCTTCCAGACCAACCTGCATCGTAAGGAGCATTTGTGATGCCTTTCTGACCACAGCTGGAGCAGCCAGTTGGCATTCACAGAGTCTGGCTGTGGTTGAATTAAGGAGGATGAACTGCAGCAGCTGATGGCACACAGAGTGCCCTGTCCATGGAGGAAGAGGCATGACTGTTCTCAGTCCCCAGGGTGTGATGTCAGTCCAGGCTGGGTGGAGTTAGCATATGCTGAAAATAAATGTTTCCACTTGGATGTGCATCAGAAATATGTGCAACAGATATTATTTTATGAGAAACTGAAAAAATTAAAGACATGTTTCCCATAATCCTCTCCTAGCCTGAATGTGCTGTCCCCAGTATGTAAGTCCTGCTGTAGCTTGGGATGCTATGATTTGCAGAGAGTATCTTGGGACTTGCTGGTGGCTCGTTACCATAGCACAGATGAGTTACACAGGCTATTGAGAGAGACTTTGACTGCAACGAGCATGCTGATGTGCCAGGCTGACTTCCTCAAGCCCGAGACTGTAGCATTCAGGCAGACTCTGGGCAACAGTTTGGCAGCCTAGTGTCCCAACCCTGTCAACAGGGCAAGCCAGATGTCTTCCAAACTTCAGTCAGCCAGGACTGTCTTTTTTCTGCTCCTCCAAACTGTGAAATGAATTTGGGTCTGATAATCTGGTGCTCAGTGACTGGCACCTTGCTCTTGCTCCCAGATGACACCGTCGTGAACAGGCACTGCTAGGAGTGTTTCTGTCTCTGCTCAAACAGACTGTGCGGTCCGGCAAATCCTAGAGGCAGCTCTGTTGCTAAGAGAAGTAATTTGAGTGGGTTGTGTGCTAGCTTTCAGTCTGAAATGTCATCTCTGAGGCATAATCTTTTATTTAGCTAAATATAGTAGTAAGAAAAGCCACAGTGGGAGTAGTCAGGACAGTATTCTCTGTAGCCTGGTTTAGCAAACTGTATGAAGCAGTTAAAGCTTTCCCTGTAGCAGAGCAGGAGGAGAGGGAAACCTCTCCATTTATGGAGAAGTCATCCTTGTATCCTTCTAGTAAGATTTTTAAGATCTGTGCTTTGGGTTTTCACGCTGTTAATTTCTCTTTTCTAGATGAAACCACTGGGCCAGAAAGCTCTTCCAGAGATTAAACTGGAGCCCCATGAAGTGGATCAGTTCCTGAACCTCTCTTCTAAGGAAGGTCTGTTAATTAGCAACCCAAAGTGCAGGGGCAGATGACCAGAATGTACTTTACCCTGATTAAATATTTGGCTTCCTCATTTGCCATGTTAATCTTTAGGCTGAAGCTGTTGCCTTCTAGGGATTCAACTCAGGCTGCTGAAGAGCCAGCCTCTCTGACCTATTTATGTGTTTTTTCTTTTTTTTTTATTTCCTTGCTCATCACAAAGAAAATGATCCCTTTTTTGTCTGTAGTGTATTAACAGTTGTACAGTTGCTGGCGGGAGCTTGAATCCTTAGAGTACGAGATTATTTAGGCTAGAAGATAAATCAATTTGAGGGGACTTAACTAAGGCATAGAAAACATGAAGAGCATAAGAGGAAACTTTACTGTTTTAACCTCTGATACAAAAGCAAGGATGTGAGATTATATGAAATCAGAAGTTAGGTGCATCTGTTTGTAGCATATTAGTTTTAGTAGAGTTTTTAAGAACCGTCAGGATCCCTTTGCACTAATCTGTAAATGAGGAAGGAGGAGCAATGATACCTGCCCTGAAAGTTAAACACAGTTTTGTGGAACATAATATGTTAAACCAGTGAAAGTTTGAAAGAGCCAAATATTTGGGCTTAAATTTGAGGAGATAGCTGCATCTCAGTTAGGAACACTTGACGTTCTGTTAGTGAATTCATTTATGTAGCTAAGTAGAACTGCTCTAGGGAGAGAAGCAAGTGATGTAGCAGGTGGAAAAAGGAGGCTATATCTCAACCCAGGGTGTAGATTTGATTGCTCAATTTGTGGGATTAAGGGCCTTGCTGTTTTTCGAGTGTGTATCTTCTTCTGGCAACTACTAGAGTTAAGATGCTAGACAAAAAGAGCACATGTATAATAGCTTTTTTTGTTACTATTTTTCTTCCTTCCTCCCCCACCACCCATCTGATCTTTTCAACTCTAATTTGCAAAGTATAACAGAAGTGGAAGGTGGCAAATTCAGCTCTGTATCTTCCTACTCCCAATTTTTATTGCTGTAAATTTATCTCAGAGAAAAAAATGACCTAGTTATGGCTGTTTTGCACATCCGCTAAATTGTCCATGTAATATGAGTAGTTGAGACATTGCCCTGTTTCTCTTGGTCCGGACCCATTTGGTCATAAGCAGCACTTTGCTTGCCAGTTCTAGCACAGGTTCCTTTGGCTGCAAGTGCAGTAGAAGTTAGCTTATGGCCCTGGATAGCACAGCGTGAGAGAGGTTCCTGTGGTGGTTGCCTTTGCTGCTTCTGCTCCATCAGTACATTAAAACCTTCATTGTCACTACATTGTCACTTCCTCCCAGTTTTGCCAAACCAGGTCCGTAGGAGGCAGATTATTTCTCTCTCCCTGCTTCATATAACACCTTGGATGTGATCCCTTCTCTTGAAAAATACCAGTGATTTGTTTAATCCACAGCAAAGTTAGGAAAGACTATTGTTTTTGGAAATAAAGCACACTGGCTCAGAGCCCCTCTGTTTTAATGTGGTTTCCCAGGGACTTGTACTGGAGGCTTGTACTTAAACTTTAAAGCATTTGGAGAAGAAGCTGAAGTGTAGGTAGAAACGACTGGAGCATATGCGCGGAGCCCTGTTTTGTCTGTTGAACCTAAAGATAGCTGCTGTGTTTCATTCGTCCTTTGGAGACCTGCATGCTCTGAAAATCTTCCAAGTTGCCATTTTTGCTTGATCCATTTTTTAGCAGACAGTCTTAGTCTTGGAAACCAGGTGGTGGTAGTGACTCTAGTGGAAATTTAAATTAGCACCTCAAAACTTTGTGTTCTGTGTCTCTCTTGCCATTTAGCAATGGATCCCCTGCACTTGCCTCCAACCCCTCCCAGCAGCCATGGCAGTGACTCCGAAGGAGGGCAGAGCCCAGCTAGATCACTCCCTCCTTCAAGCCCAATCCAGCTACAAGCCACAGCTAAAGTGACATCGCGCACAGCTTCAGCGCTCTCCAATTCCCCTCTCCTGACTGCACCACATGTAAGTTGAGCTGGCTTTTTCCAGCGTCTGTCTCTCTGTCTCTCTTTTTCTTCCTTGCCTCCTTCCCTCCTTCCTTCCTTCCCTATTACTGTTTTTGCCATGTATTTGCTAACTTCCTGTTGTTCTTTAGATTAATACATCTCTGGTCAAAACTGCAGATCCAGTAATTATTGCTTCTTCCCACAGAGCACAGCGTGTGCCCCACCTCTAAGTTGAGACAGGGTTTAACAGTGTTATTAGTGTTTTTCCCACCATGGATTGTGTTTCGCGTTAGGGCCCAGCCCTGCTGGGTTAACCTGTCCCTGGTAGATCTGCGTCTGTCCTCTTGTCTTGACAAAAGCAAGTGGTGATCTTTAGGGAGGGGTTTTCGGTAGTGCTTCTCATTTGTCTCTTTCCCAGTTTGAGCCAAGGGAAGTTTTACTGTTGGCCTCAGCATGTGCAGAGCTGGGCTGAGAACAACTGTTTTGAGGGAATCGTGTCCCAGAGGTTCAGTCTCTGAGTGGAAACTATCTAAAACGTCTTCCCCTTTCATGCACTCACAGTTGCAAGAGGCTGCTGTGTCCATAGGCAGATTCCTCTCTAAAGGGAGAGATCTGCTGCTCCTCTTCCCTAACACCCTTTTCTCTAGGGCTGTGTGCACTTGCTGTTACATTATTTCATTTCTATGGCACTTGCAGAAATTGCAGGGTACAGGCCCACTCATCCTGACAGAGGAGGAGAAGAGGACGCTGATAGCGGAGGGGTACCCAATCCCTACCAAACTGCCCTTGACAAAAGCAGAGGAGAAAGTGCTGAAGAAAATCCGGAGGAAAATAAAGAACAAGGTAAATGTTAGTTAGCTTTGATGGGTAATTCTTACTCATCTTTCATTTTAAAAAATGCTGCAACACTTCTGCACTAATGGTCTGTGGTACTGTTGAATGCTGTAAGATGTCTTTTAATAAAATGTTTTTCTTTGTTCCTAGACACATCCATCAAATTGTCTGTCACAGTGACAGTGTGCCTCTGTCTAGGTATTTACCTGAACACATGAACAATAGAGTATTTAGCAAGTAGGGTAGCAAGTTGCTGTTGCTTGGCTCCATTTTAAAAACAGTACAATCCTACTGTTATAGTAGGCAAAGACCTCTGTATTCTTTCCATGGTGATGAAGGTGTTCTTTTCCACTGTTTCATGTTTTAAAATCTGACAGTGTAGTTCAGTGCCCTAGTCTTTTGATCACTGAATTCTATGACCTTTAAATGAATGGTTGATACCAAGGCTGTCAAATCCTCTACAAGTCTTTTCTTTCTTGCAACACAGGGAAGAACCTAGTGTCAGGGAGGAAAGCTTTTTTTTTCAGACCTGTCCAGCTAACTTTCTAGAGGATACTAGCACATCTTTGATTCTGTTATTGGTTTTGCAGATAGAGGTGTAAATTTGCCCAACTGAATTGGAATTTAGTCTTGTAAAATATTTTTTCAAAATTTTTGGAAGTGACCTTGTGTATTTTATGTATCACTTTCATATCATCAGAGTAATTTATATTGGAGGGCATCTCTGGAGGTCCTTTGATCCAACTCTTTGCTTTGAAAGCAGAGTCATCTTAAAGCAAGTTACACAGGGACTTTTCTGGTCATGTTTTACTGTCTCAAAGGGTGATGAGTCCACAGCATCTCTAGGCAACTGGTTCCCAGTATTAGGCCATTCTTGTGGAAAAAAACAAATAAATACAATTTTTAATGTCTAATTGGAATTTCACTTGTTACAACTTGCATTTGATGCCTCTTGCCATTTTGCTGTACACCTCTGAGAAGGCTTTGACATCATCTTCGCTACACAAGATAGTTGAAGACAGCAATAGAATTCCCTCCTTAGCCTTCTCTTAAATCTGAAGAAACGCAGCTTTCTCTGCCTTTCCTGGTGTGTCATGTGCTCCAGCATGCTTATTGTAGCAGTGGTCCTCCTCTGGGCTTCTTCTGTATATCCAAAGTATTTATTTCAGAACCACAAACTGTACACTGAACTCAACTGTGGTCTTGCAGTTGCTGAATAGAGGGGAAAAAACACTTCTCTCAACCTGATAGCTACGGTCTTGTTAATGTGGGCCTGAATTGTCCGAGTTTGCTACGGAGTGTATTGCTGACTTATGTTTGACTTGTTGTTCGTCAGGACAGGCAAGTTTTTTTCTACAAAGCTGCTTTCTAGAACATGCGTGGGCTTTTCCTCTCCCAGATGCAGTTCATTGTCCTGGGATCGTCTTTCACTATTTTTCCTGGGATATTATCTGCAGATGAATCTGATTTAGTTTTTAAGGTTAGTTCTGCAAGAGCAATTTTTTTCGTACTACTGAGAGGAGTAGTCTTGCTTCAGGATGTGGAAACAGACTAAGTCAGTGCTTTGCTTACCAGGAATAGAAACAAGAACAGTATGGAGGCTTGAATCTAATAACGTCAGGGCTTTTTACCAGTTTATTGATTCATCTCTGATGCTTTTTTTTCTATGCAAATATTTGTTGTTTTTCTTCCCTTTTCCTTAGATCTCTGCCCAGGAAAGTAGAAGAAAAAAGAAAGAATACATGGACAGTCTGGAAAAAAAGTAAGCCATCCTCCTTCCTGTTTCAAGCGGGCCAGTAACACTAGTTGCTGGACTGGGAAGGGATCCAGCTGTTGATGCTGGGACTGTTTTCGTGCACAGAGTGCCAGCTGCCATCTCGTGGTTATGACTGAGAAAAGGCCCTTCTGGCTTCTGCTTGTATGTGTGCTGGGGTGCTGCGTTCCTAACTGTGTCTACCTCCAGCATGTTGCTAGCATGCCGACAAAGACTTTAAATAAGGCAAGACCCATCTGCTGTCAGCCTCCTCCTCATGCAGCTCTTGCCCTACTGGGTAGGCGGTGTCCAGGGAAGGGTGAATTCAGGTGAATATATTCTGTCTAATAGTGGAGATGGAAATAGGAAGTGGGTGAGTCAAGACTGCCTGGGAAAATAAGCGGGACTCAGGAAAACAGCATGTGACCCATCGACTTCCTTTAGTGAGAAGGAGCCAAACCTCCAGTCAGTGATTTGTATGCCAGGTTAATCTTTCTTCCAACAGAGAAGTATTCTAGTATTTCTCTTATGCACTTTACCAGATGGATCTGTGAAACCCCTTGTAACATCTTTGGTGATATCCTTGATGTAATTTCCTTTTTTTTCTTCTTACCTCTTTCTGGATGAGTCTTGCTTTCTCAGAGTTACTCTTGTGAAATTCCACCATATACACACAAATATCAAAGCTATTTCCCTTCACCTTTTTCCTTATTGAAGATGTTCTGGCTGGTCGTGTTTGCCTTTCTGAGAGTCCCATATTTTTACTCGGACCTTTTATGTGGCATGTCATATGATAACCAGCTTTAGTTTAGGGGGTTTCCAGGAGCAGTGTGGAAATGAGCACTCTTCTGGAAATGAATCCTCCTGGACTTACTAACGTCCCTAAACTTGAAACTGAGGATCTGGGTTTAGAAGCATGCCTCATTCTAGCAATGAAATGCACGCATTGAACACCTTTGCACAAAATACTTGCTGACAACGTAAATACAGCTTTTTAAAGTATCTGTCCCATGGCCTGATGCACAGAGAAGGTCTGAGCAGGGTCTTTGCTGTTGCTATTTCAAGGGGCAAAAAGTCCTTGCAGCCCATCCTGAATGAGGTGCACCTGCTGGGATGTAGTTGAGCACTGTAAGCGGGTGCTCCACAGCTAGGAGTATCTTTTGCAATGTCTTTTACACCATGAGGTATGATTAAAGCTTATGACTAAGGTTTGTTGGTGTAACTTTTCATTAAATGTAGGCAAGATCATGGAGCTCTCTGTGAAAGCAAGTTTAATAAATGACTGATTTTTTACATTCCTCTTTCTTTCCTTGTGCTGTCTCCAGAGTTGAGACTTGTTCAAATGAAAATAGTGAGCTGCGTAAGAAGGTTGAAGTCTTGGAGAATACTAACAGGTAAGGTATGAAAGGAATAAAACAAAACTGTAGCATGGTATTACAGTGAAAATTTAGTACGTGGAAGTTAAGAGATCAATTGAAATGTGAAGAATAGCTGTATCTGATCTGGTTAATGTCAAAGAAAGATGAGGAAGGACAGTTATTGTGACTGCAGTGTAATGTAAAGCATAGGGGCTTTGATGTCAGGTTGTAAACGTTTGTCTCCCTAGCTTGTGGTGTACTTGAGAAACCTTTTAGCGCTCTTTGAGTTCTTCCACTGCCTAAGGAAACATGATTAGTGTTACATAACAAACAAAAAAATACAGCCCAACTCTCCAAATTGCCTTTATTTAGGGAAAGACTGTTTTACCAGAGAACCT